CTTGTTGTCTCGGATTCTCCAGCATCTGCAGTTCCTACTATCTCTGAGCAGTACCAAACTATTTGTCGCAAGAGGTATCATAGTGAAACCTGATCCTATCTCCATAGATCCTGCACAAGTTGCTGGGTAATCAAAAGGAATAACACTGATGAATATCTTCCTCCTAATTTGGCAGTGTTGAAGCCACTGGAAGCATTCCTGGTCTCAGCTGAGAAAGCTAGACTCTGTACCGAATAAAGGTTGGAATTGTTGTTCCATTGATCCCAGCTTATTTATGACTAACCTTGCAGATTAACAAAAGCCTAAGTAGTCAGCAGATCAACACATGAGCCAGATAATTGCTGCTTTCTCCCCTTTTACAATACATACATTCGAAATAATGTCCTTTAAGCAGGATTTGAGCTGCACTAAAGTTAATGGGGATGGGAAAGACAAAGAGCATTCTCCGACCAAATAACTTGCCAAGTGGAATTTATTCACTGGAGCAAAATATGGATACATTTTGAGAGTGGCCTGAACGGCCAAGACAAAGGCAGCATTTCTAAAAATAAAACCATTAGATAACTGAACTAGTGAGCAATTTTATATCAAAATCTACTTCTGTTGGAGTCAAAACAATTTGTCAACAGAGTTGCTATTAAGAATGGCACTGCATTTTGGTAAAAGTCTTGTCATGTTGACACTCTGCCCACTGTTGAAGAGCCATTTTACTGGGACAAAGGTGAGTATTGAACAAGTTCAAGGGATTCGCATCAAAGTCGTTCAGTGAGCTGCAAGAAGCTCCCTACCCTTTTACTTGCCTATAGCTTTGCACTTATGGTTTAGTTGTTGAAGAAAATACTCAGTCAAGGCAAAGATTTAAGGGCAAATATTTGTGCATGAACTGGATTCTTGGGTCATGCAATTATCGTTTTAAACCATTTTATTCGGAGGCCAGTCACAGCCCGGAAGGGAGTGCACCACAATCGGAGCTAATAAATGGTCATCAATGGCCAACAATGACTTGGGAGATGCCCACAGTCATTTTTAATTAATTCTGGAATGCACAAAAATGCAAAGTGATCAAGACTTCTGAAAACTGTTAAGTTCACCTTTTTATCTTTGTTGTCTGCGTGACTTTTATATCTGGCATTGAAAGGATACAAAAATATAATCATCCATGTATCGTTTCTTCAGGTTGTCCACAATGCCATCCTCTGTGATTTTTGTGAGAAGCACCATATCGTCCACTCCACTCTGTTTGACATTGTGACTCTGCCAATGATACCTGTAGTGACCTTTGCTCCCCTGCAAAAGGAGAAGAAATGTAATTAACTCTTAACTTTCAGTGTTACTGTAGCTTTTTTGGACTTGAAAGATTAACTCTGTTTCTCTCTCCACGGTTGCTGCCAGATCTGCTCAGTTTCTCCAACATCTGCAGTATTTTGCTTTTATCTGAGTGTGTCCATGAGTCTTCTTGCCCAGACTGAATTGGGTCAGAGGTGAGAGGGCAGCAGGGTCTTCAACAGACAGCACATCCCCCTTCGCATTAAGTGCCCCACTCCACCAAACTCATCACAATAGGCACTACATTCCAGCAGTGTGTGGCCATACACATATAAGCTTCGCAAAGTCACTGATACTCGCGTTCAGACCAGCATCACCAGGGTTAGGCTGCAAACAAACAGCCTAGAACAAAGACAGCTTTTGTGGAAGCTTATATAATACCAATAGAACTTGCACTGTTAATGCTGAAACTTCTACTACATAGAACCTGGCTATCTTAAGCAGACAAAGTGTCATCTATCATATCAGCAAATATACAGTTGAAAATACATCCTTCAGTTATCTTTGGGGGATTGTGATAGAATAGAAGACACATCTTGGTTCATATCATTGGACTCCTGATATATATTTTAGAAGTGTGCATTCATCCCCAGTATTATCACAATATACATAACGACTTCTGTGATAGCCATTAATCAAGTGATCTTTGTTGCACTTCCAAAGATTACCTGACACTGGGGTGAAAGAGTTTGCATTTTGTTTGCGTCTTAGATTATAATACCCCTAAAACACTCCCAGATCTGGTTAACAAATGCCGAAGGCTTTCGTTACATTAATATTTGGAATGTCACTACGTGAGCCGTCAGAAGCAACCTTCATCTTTCAAAAGCTAGCCAGAAGTAGAGGTAATTAACATTCTCTGTTTAAGAAAAGTGTTGGAGGCTCCTGCACATCACCAATCACCAACACTGTCCCTTGCAATGTGGTTTCATTCTGACTCCTGAGTGATAGTTCTCATGGAATCCCTTAGCATAAAATGAAGCTATTCATCCCATCATGTTAGCATTAACTCTTAAAAAGGAACCAAAGAATTTTTCTTAAATTCTTTTGCCAGAATCTGGAGGTAAATACGACAAGGTGCAGGGCTGGATGAACACAGCAGGCCAAGCAGCATCATAGGAGCAGAAAGGCTGACGTTTCGGGCCTAGACCCTTCATCAGAAAAGGGGGAGGGGAAGGGGGTTCTGAAATAAATAGGGAGAGAGTGGGAGGCGGATAGAAGATGGATAGAGGAGAGGATAGGTGGAGAGGAAACAAACAGGTCGAAGAGGTGGGGATGGGGCCAGTAAAGGTGAGTGTAGGTGGGGAGTTAGGGAGGGGATAGGTCAGTCCAGGGAGGACGGACAGGTCAAGGGGGCAGGATGAGGTTAGTCGGTAGGAGATGGGGGTGCGGCTTGAGGTGGGAGGAGGGGATAGGTGGGAAGAAGAACAGGTTAGGGAGGCAGGGACGAGCTGGACTGGTTTTGAGATGCGGTAGGGGGAGGGGAGATTTTGAAGCTTGTGAAATCCACATTGATACCATTGGGCTGCAGGGTTCCCAAGCGGAATATGAGTTGCTGTTCCTGCAACCTTCGCGTGGCATCGTTGTGGCACTGCAGGAGGCCCAGGATGGACATGTCATCTGAGGAATGGGAGGGGGAGTTGAAATGGTTCGCGACCGGGAGGTGCAGTAATTTATTGCGAACCGAGCGTGGGTGTTCTGCAAAGCGGTCCCCGAGCCTCCGCTTGGTTTCCCCAATGTAGAGGAAGCCACACCGGGTACAGCGGATGCAGTATACCACATTGGCAGATGTGCAGGTGAACATCTGCTTGATGTGGAATGTCTTCTTGGGGCCTGGGATGGGGGTGAGGGAGGAGGTATGGGGGCAGGTGTAGCACTTCCTGCGGTTGCAGGGAAAAGTGCTGGGTGTGGTGTTGCTGGAGGGGAGCGTGGAGTGGACAAGGGAGTCACGGAGAGAGTGGTCCCTCCGGAAAGCAGATAAGGGTGGGGAGGGAAAGATGTCTTTGGTGGTGGGGTCGGATTGCAGATGGCGGAAGTGTCGGAGGATGATGCGTGTTTGCCTCCATTCTTTAGTTCAATTCAGCAAGTTCCAGCACATGTACACGTTGCACAATGGCAGGTATCCGAGTAATATAGCTGCGCCACAGAGGATCTTCAGTTATTCTAATGTTGAGGATGAATACCCTTTTTTTAGCATATCATAGAACTGCAAATATAAAATAAGTTATTTGCTAGCATTTAACCTACATAAATTGGAAAGTTAGCATAGACTTTCCCACAGGTTTGGAGAGAGTTGAGTTGACTATATTTAATTCGGACAGCAGAAGAGTCCAACCATTGACCTGTGGTAATGCTAGTCTAGATAGTCCAAACACAAGATCCTGTATTGATCCTCAAGCTACAGGCTTATGAAAATCAAGTTTCACCCTGGGTAAAGGTAAAAAGCTTTGAAGTCTAAGCTACAATAGAGGTCAGCACGCACTGGCCTTACTTGAATGAAAAAAAAGTGATAATTATACGCAAACCCAATGGTTCTGAAGACAATCACATTAGCTCATGAGTGGACCAGGAAGGGCTGTAGTTTGATCCTTGCTCTGTACTACATAAGCCAACGGCAGGTATGTTGTGGTAGGGCTGTTACAATTTGTTTCAATTTTCCTATTAGGAAGAGGGCAAGTCAATCAGCCTTCCAAACCTTCGATGCTACTCAGTGATTCCTGGCGAAAGACCTGATTTACAGAGTATGGTGAGGGCCCTCCCAAAATAATTAACCAGCCTGTTAACATTCACACAGGCATATTTCCATTTCTTAGTGGTCAAGAGTGAGAACCCACACTAGTCCACATACCCTGCTTTCTACAACGATTACACGAGAGCAACTGTATTATCGTTATAACTAATCAAAGGCAGGTCAGGAGTGTGTTTTGTTTTGAATCTTCATCGTTCCTGACCTTTTGTTTGCTGTAAGAACAGTCTAACATTTCATGCTGCCAAGATTGTGGAAATTTACGTGGTTTAAAAATGTAAAGTATGCTTCATACAGCAAAACAGTCCTCTCCTATATGTCTAAGGACATGTTAAAAGTTCTGTACTTGGCAGACAGTGGAAGATAAGGTATTCAAGAAGGCACAAAATACCATAAATATTCCAAACCGTACCATAGCATGTGTTCAAATTTATTTATATTAAAATGTACCTTTTCTCACAGACAGTATAAAAGTTAGAAAACATCATATTAACAATGATTAGAAACCTAGCTGCCATTTATAGATAATAAATTGAACCTCAAATGTTTCCACTCAAAATTGTATGATGCACTAAAGACCTGACTCACTGAAATATTGATGGTGTTGTTCTGTTGCCACACTTTATATTGTGTTAAAAAATGGTAATGAATTATAAAATTAATATGAGGTATGTCAGCTTTTTTCTTGGCTGATCATCATTGAATGTATTTTAAGTGCTGTTGTTTCAAATACCCCTCAAAATGATAAAGAAAAAACCAAAAGAACTGTGGATGCTGGAAATCAGAAACAAAAACAGAAACTGCTGCTTCTTCAGAACTCTGCTTTCTCTTCATGGATGCTGCCAGACCTGCTGAGTTTTTCTAGCAATTCCTGTTTTTGCCCCTCCAAATAATGATGTGAACACGGCGCTTAGTTTAATATTCTCTGTCCCCTATGTTAAGACAAGCGTTAATCCAACCAAAATAAACAGTGCAATACTTTGTTAATGCAACAGTTGTTCATAATTTAAAGTGTTTCTATACTCATAATAAAAACCAGTAAACTGATAGGAACATTGACATTCAAAGATATTCCTAATGTCCAGATGAATATTTCACATTACTCACAGAATAAGGTGGCATATAATGCAACAAAATTACATTAAATGCTTGTATGTGAATAATATCTGATAGAAAGCATACCCATGTATATTCTTCGACATTCTTACACCTGTTCTTATCCTGTGTTTTTAAATCCCTCCATCGCCTCATTCCCTTCTGCATAACCTACTCCAACCCAAAGTCCCCTGATGTGTCAGCACTCCTCCAATTCTGGACTCTTGTGTATCCTTGATTTTAATCTCTTTACCACCTGTTGGTGGTGCCTATGGCAGCCTTGATCCCCTACCTCTAGAACTGCCTTCCTGAACTCTCCTTTCAGCCGCCCTGCTTAACACATTTGACCATCTGCCTGAAGATCACATCACGTCATTCAGCATCACATTTTGTTTCATAGAGTCATACGGCACAGAAACAGACATTTCGGTCCAACCAGTCCATGCTGAACATAGTACCAAACTAAACTAGTTCCACCTCCTGCTCCTGGCCCATATCCCTCCAAACCTTTCCTACTCATGTACTTATCTAAGTGTCTTTTAAACATAGTAACTAGCTTGCATCCACCACTTCCTGGAGAAGTTCATTCCACACACAAACACCCTCTATGTCAAATGTTTGTCCCTCGTGTCTTTTTAAAATCACACTCCTCTCAACTTAAAAATAAGTCCCCTACTCCTGAAATAGCCCATCCAAGGGAAAAGACACCTACCATTAACCCTATCTATGCCCTTCATGATTTTATAAACCTCTATAAAGGTCACCTCTCAAACTCCTAAGCTCCAGTGAAAAAAATCTCAGCCTATTCAGCCTTTCTTTATAACTGAAATCTTCCATACGTAGCAAAATCCTGGTAAATCTCTCCTGAATCCTCTCCAACTCAATGATATCCTTCCCATAACAGGGCAGTCAGAACTGTACACAGTACTCCAGAGGAGCCCTCACCAATGTCTGTACAAACTTAACATGACTTTGCACTCCTATACTCAAAGGTCTGAGCCATGAAGGCAAGCATGCCAAATGCCTTTTCAACTACCCTGTCTATATGTGACGTAAACTCCAAAGAATTATGTACCTGAACCCCCAGGTCCCTCTGTTTATGTTGCCACTATGAAACATA